GGTCTATGAAGTGGCTGCAACAAATTGACAAATGTCATTCCATAAACTCTTTCTGTAATCTGCATTATTAAAGGCATAAATGACAGAGAGATTAAAGTTAGTATGGTCACTGTCTATGGTGATAGAACAGTGGATAGCTTGAGTACTATCACTAAGCTTCTGGACTTTAATAAACCTCTGGTAAAAAAAATCCATATCCTCCCAAGAGTGGAATGATTGTAGTTATGCAATAACTGCCATGAAGGGGCAATGTTCCTCAGCACTGATCTGACATTGACTTCTTGTACTTTGTGCTCCACAATGGCTACTAAGTGGAGCTTATATTTGTAAATAAGCTTCCTTATTTCTCTTTGTTTTGTAGAAGAATTAAGACCCCTGATATTCCAAGCTACTGCATTGATCATTGAGTGGATTGGACCACAAGACCTGGAAAGCCTAGAATAGGCATCTCTTGGGTAATATCACCCTTTTTCTTCTTCTTCTTCCCTGTATCATCCTCAATACATTTTCTATCACTATTAGCTGTTTTACTACCATGACTTGCAGAGGACATGGGAGTATCAGAGGAGGTATGAGAAGCTTCAACTTTCCTAGTGCTGGAACTAACATCATCATCCTGCTTGTAACCCTCTTGACCTTGGTTGTGGCTACCTGTAACATTTGTATGAACAATAGGAATAGGGCAGCCTATTATGGAAGGCTCAATTTCAGAGTGTTGATCATGGTTGTGGCTACCAGAAGCATTTTCAGTGTCAATGGGAGTAGAGCAGCCTGTTGTGGAAGGTTCAACTTCAGAGTATAATATGGCAAATTGGTTATTTGTTAACAAGAGGGGTTCAAGCCTAACATTAGGGAGGGGAAGTGTCTGCTCTGAGAAAGTTTTAGTGGCAGTGTTGGGAGTGTTGGGAGCATGGTGTTTAGTAAACGTGGTTGGAACAACCTTGTTGTTCTTTTCGATAACCCTCTATTCAGAGTTAGAAGTAACAGGGGTGCCCTCAGGAGGGTTAGGACCTGTGGTGCCAATAAGTGGTTTACACTTAGAAGTTGTGTGTCCAAAACATTTATATGCCTCATAAACCTGAGGCATCCACTGGTATTCTGCATCAATGGTGATGAGTTTGCCACTTTCCAGCCTGATTTCAAAGTTATCCACAAAAGGTTTAGCAGCATCCACTTCAATACATACTATTGCATAACTTATTCTAGTTAAAGATTCAGTTTGTTCATCTGCAAATAATGGTTTCCCCACTGCACTAGTGATATGACTTAAGTCCCTTGCAGTCTAATACTTACAAGGGATATTAAAAAATTTGACCCATAAATGTATGATACTACATGCCTCCTTTTTAAATTACATACCTTTTTCCCATTTTTTGAGAATAATTGGTCTTCCCATTATCATCCATGGCCCATTCACAATGACATTGTAACAGTCATCCTCATTGGAGAACTTGAAAATGAAGAAGCCATTCTCATCCCAAAGTAATTCCCCAAAACCCATTGAACCCCATAGTTTCTGAGCTTGTTTTTTAACTAGAGTGTATAGGAGCTTCTTCTGTAGAAAATGACCTAAAATACTGGCCTTCCATTCTTGCTCCCCTTCCTCAGCTAGATTTGCAGGAAGATCAATGACAATAGAGGATCCAAACCTTGCATTAGGAGGGAAAAATTCAAGGTTCATCCTGCACCTGTCAGTACCTGTGTCATGACCAGTGGCAGCAACTTTTGACCAGCTGGTGTGTGTGTCTCGAGGACCATTAGAACCAAGAGAGGGTTGCTGAGCATTGCCCAGAATTTGTGGAAGCCAAGTATTTCCATTTTGGTGTAATAAAAGAAAATCTTTGTGTGTAGGAATAGCTTGGACAGAAGTATCAGACACATGGTTTGACTGAAGACCTGTTGCATTCCCTACCTCTAAGGGTGACGCGTGGATACTCCTTTGATGCTGGTGCTGAGAGACAATGGTGGACTTGCTTCCTCCATCTCTGCCCTTACCACTGGACCCTCTCCCTCTACCTGATGCAGGAAAGCTTGGAAGCGTACTCCCTTCCTCAAATGGGTGCTTAGAAGTGGTTAAAGGTTTAGCAAGGTCTTCATCCACTGTTAGTGGTTGCTTCTTCTATAAACTTCAGCCCTGTGGCTTAGAGCTTTCTCTAACTCAACAATTTTTTCTCTGGCATAGGCCAGTTCACATCTGGCATTAGTTAGAGATCTAGCAGGGGCCTCATTTTGCATCTTCTTTGCCTGAGCTAAGGTTTGATTTACCATGTTACTTCCCCTGGTTTCGTCTTGCACTACATATTTTGTACATGTTGTGATAGTGGGGTAGCCTCACTCCATTGTGTACATGATTTTTTTTTTCTTAATATATTATCATTTACCAAAACAAAAAATACATATGTAGGGCATAAAGGATAAAAATAAATAAATAAATAAATAAGAAAAAGAATAAGAATTAGAAAGTGATTTTTAACAGTAAAACTATGGGTTTCCTTTGTTCAATCTTATAAGAACAATTTTCTATTTTTTAAAAACTATAAATCAGAAAACTATGGTTGATAATTTATGAAAACTATTTTGAAAAAAATCCGTTAAAAAAGTGTGTTTATAATGAAACTATCTTTTTTATAGTTGAAAACAATTTAATGTTTCTTAAATTCTTGAGAAATATTTTTAAAGAACTGAACCAAGCAGGCCTTACTTTTCTTGTTAGGGTGTGTTCGGCTATATGGAATTGGAGTATTGAAATAAAAATTGGTAAAATTTAAGAAAAATTACTAAGAAAATTGAACTAATTTTTTTTTTTCAAATTCTACCAATAACAAATTCCAATTCCAATTACAAGGCTATTTTATGCAACCGAAAGCACCCTCAAAGAAGCTCCCTATATGGTCTTAGTCATCGATAGATGAAATTTACATCACCAATGTATGTTCACAAAGTAAAATAAAATCAAAGACACTGTTAAGACAATTGCTCATTGTTGAAGGTGGTTCGTGAGTAGGATGAGGAGATCGTTCCACGTAAGCCAAGAAATCTGAGATCAGTATCCAAGTGGAGATCCAAGCGATGCAAGGGACTCTTTGCACAGTAAAGATTAAGAAATGGAAGGCTGACCTCGGTACCCAATGAACTCGAGCTCGGCAATGTCTGGTGGTTAAGGTGGTTGTGTTGTTTGTTGATTAATGCGCCTATTTATAGTGCTCATTCCCTCGATCAATGTCTCTCAGTCCTTTGTCTGAGCTCGCTCTTGCCCAAGGGTTTGAGGGTCTCCCCTCCCGACAGATGGGACATTGACGGATGGAACGCGGCGTTTTGTCCCCAGGTCCAAAGAGGTAACGGCGTTCCTTAATTAATATAGATCTTGTCAAATGTCTTTCGTAATTAATGCACTTTTTATCACTCATAGCTCGAGCTCTGATACCGAATGTCCTTTCCCCCTTGCATCGGCCTTGGACTGAGGCGGTACATCGGATCTCAGCCACCTGTCCACATGCCCTCAAATTCCCGAACCCAGCATAGGAATAAGCCCATTCCGAGGTTCTGCTTTCTCGACCTCGCGAGGCCACATCCCGATTGATGTGACCCGAGCGTGTGCACAAAATAATGCACAACACTTTGGTTTTGGAAATGGTATCAAACGGGCATCATACTTTAAATTTATATAAAAGCCGCTTAATACTTATACCGTTAAGTATGAAGTGAGAAGGGATCGTTCCTAAGGGATTGAACACGTGTTGGGATTAAACTTGATTTTAGTGCTAATGAGATTACACAAGAGAGAGAAAAAAAAAAAAGAAAGATTTTTGGTGAAGTGATTAAACTAGAGTTCAATTGAAAGCATAGAAATGGAAATGACAATGCAAGTAAATTAAACTAAGAATTAAAGAGATAGGAAGAGAGTCTTAGGGTTAGGATTCACCACTAAGCTTATGTAATTAACCATTTGCTTTCAATTAATGGGGAAATCATTAGTGTAATTATAGATGTAGCCATATTATCATCATAAATCACAATTATAAGCATAGATTATCAACATCAAGAATGAGTTGTCTACTTAATGACAATTAAACAAAAGTGTATAACCTATTCAAGACTACATCATAACCCACCATACACATTCACAAATGTATCCAATAAGAGCACACATCAATCAAGAGAATAATACTAATTGTAATTAGAAGCATGAATTAATATAATCAAGCACAAATTGCCTACTTAACTACAATTAACTAATAACAAGTAAGCTAATTTGTAAAACAACTCATTAAGATTAAGCCTTTATCCATCAAATTAATTGATAATTGTATCACATAAGTACTATGCCATGGCCATCATTAAACACAACTACAAGAAGTATCTAGTGTAAAGTATAATTCTAAATCAATCACACATAGACATGTAATTTTCATATAGAATCAATGGAAGAATTAATTTTCAATCATTTAATGAAGAATAAAATCCCTAATTAATCATACATAGATATACAATCAACTAGAGATTTCAATGGAAGAATTTATCAATACAAGCCTTAATTTGTCAAATCAAGCATGTATATATAAAGAAATCACAAGGCTATACATTTAATTACAACATATTAATTCCCCAAGAAAAGAAATACAAAGGTTTAGGTTACATGAACTTAGGGCTCATCTAAGCCCTAAGTGAAGAACTAGCTCATGGAGGAGATGATCATGAGTATTTTTTGCACCTTTCTGCCAATAGTGGGTACGACCCCCAGTGCTAGAAATCTCTTTTAAGCCCCATTTAACTCCATTTTGGCCTCGGGTTAATCGGTTTGCTTCTTGATCGTTGGGAACATCATCAAAGGCCCGAAAAAAGGTAGAATTGACCGCTTTTGAAGGATAAGCACACTATACGAACAATAGGTTGCGGCCTCTTTTTGCCATTTTCTAAGCTTTTTCCGACTGTCTTTGCTTGACTCCAAAAATTACGGTAATGGACCAATTTAAACCCGTTTGAACTTTATTGCCCTGAAATACATATAAACATAAATTAGGACTCAAATGGTTAATTAAAGATAGATGGAAGGACTACACTACCCTAACTTAGGTGTTAAAATATGCAACATTTGAGCACTTATCACCGATTCTATACTTCGAGGTCCCTCTATCCAAAAAAAAGGGGAGCTCACAAAGCAGAAAGCTCGAGGTCACTCTAACAGGAATCGACCTCGGAAGAGCAGGAATGATGGGTCCATCCGACTGGAGCGGGGCGCATCCTCAGGAGAGGAAGGGTAGCAACCCCCTCCTCGTTCAACAAGTCCAGTCATGGGACAAGTAACTCAAGGATACCTAGTTCCTTCAGGGGTAGAAGCATGCCAAATAAGTATTGGCCAGGTGTGCCTATTTTTAGAGGTGGCGCCATTTGGCCGGCTAGCGTGGTGCGATTATAAAAAATGTTGAAGGTTCAAAATGCCAGCTGGGTCTAAACGCTCGATGCTTTGGACGAGCGCTCGGCGCTGATGATTGCCGGACGAGCGCTCGATGCTGATTATCGCCGGACGAGCGCTCGATGCTTTGGACAAGCGCTCGGCGCTGATGATCGCCGGACGAGCGCTCGGTGCTTTGGACGAGCGCTCGGTGCTTTGGTCGAGCGCTCGGTGCTTTGGTCGAGCGCTTGGTGCTTTGGACGAGCGTTCGGTGCTGGTGATTGCCGGACGAACGCTCGGTGCTTTGGACGAGCGCTCGGCGCTGCTGATTGCTGGACCAGCGCTCGGTGCTTTGGACGAGTGTTCGGCTCTGATGATTGCCGGACGAGCGCTCGGTGCTTTGGACGAGCGCTTGGCGCTGATGATTGCCGAACGAGCGCTCAGTGCTTAGTCCCTTCAGGGGTAAAGGCATGCCAAATAAGTATTGGCCAGGTGTGTCTATTTTCAAAGGTAGCGTCACTTGGGCAGCTAGCGTGGCGTGATCATCAACACTCATCACCCCCTTTTGCCAGAGGTGATGAAATTCCAAACTAGATACGGATAACAATTACACATAGCCAACAACACCAACATCTCACCTGTAAATTGTAATGTAATTTCATTTTACATCAATAAATTTGCTTAAAATTTCTTGAGGAAAAAAACAAAAAAATTTACCTATAAGCCAGAAATAAAGGAACAGATGAACAAAAGTAAACATTGTTTTTTAATGGTTGCATCTACATTTATACCTTCATTAGTTGTGAGCAAAGCCACCTTCTATCAGGAAAAACTACACATTTTCTTCCCCTTCTCTCACTACTACCACCACCCTTGCGCATATATATTCCAACCCAAATTCTGCTGCTTTATGTGTTCTTTGAATCTTGTAATTGCATGCTTATGCATGTATGGTTGCACTTAAAAGTGAATAAAGGTCGGGTTTAATTCAGAGATTTGCACTTATTGAATGGTGCAAATCAGCGAATGGAGGTTTGTAATACCCCCGATATTTTAAAAGGATTTATTAAAGGATTTATTAATTAAAATTATTATTTTTTATTTTATGATATTTTAAAAGGATTTATTAAAGGATTTATTAATTAAAATTACTTTTATTTTATTTTATTTTGTAAATGATTTGTTTGATTTAATTATGAGTAATTGCTTTTATTTTATTAAAAATGATTTGTTTTATAAAATGATTTGTTTTATTACGTGTGTAGATTAATTGTCTTATTCAAATCAAATTATATTTCGTGATGATGTGTGTTGATTGTTTGGGTGTATGCTTGATTATTGTTTTATTGGTATTGTGTGATTTTATGTTGGTGTAACTTTATTGTAAATTATTGGTAGCTATTAATTTAATTTCATTATTTTAGGTATTTAAATTATTTGGATTGGGATTAAAGGATGTTGGACCAACGGATGTGGTATTGGGCTTGGAGGAAACCTGGTTGGGTTAATTAGTAAAGGCCCATGGGTGTGAGGATATTTAATAATTATCTTTGTATAATTATACCTATATAATGACATGTGCATAAATTTAATTCATTATTAAATCATGTGGAGGGGTATATATGTCAATATAAATATATATTGATATATATAGGTATATATAATTTATTTAACTAATGGTTATATATGGAAGGTAATATATATATTTATATTAAAATATATGTATGTATATATATTATTTAAAAGATAAATATTATTTATTTTATATGTTAATCATAATGGGAAAAGGATTTGGTTTTGATGTGTATAAATAGACACATTAGACTTTAGGGTTAGGAGTTTTTCTCACGTTAGAAAAATAAGGGAGTCAAAGAGAGAAGGAAAAAAAAAAGGGTTAACAAAGAGGAAGCTGGATCAGAGAAAGAGGAGGCCGGATTTAGAAGAGACAGGCAAGTTCTTCTCTATTTCTCCTCTTAGAATTCATAAACTTATCACCTTGAGTATCAAAATTATATGTTTATTTTATTTTAAAAAAAATAAAATTATAGAATTTAAACATGTGAATAAGGGTATGTCTTGTTCTAATAATTTAACTCTTATACGTGAGGTTAGGTTGATTAAATCATATTTTTGAAATTTTTATAGGTTGCTTTAACCTTGTGTAGCATGATTAATTAAATTAAATAGATCTTAATTTAATTATATGTTTCAACTAGGCCCAAAACAATTAAACTAAGCTTTTGGAATTTTTTTTTAGAATTTTCAGAGATTTTATGGTAATTTTCTGGAAGTATTTTATGTTTTTAGAATCTGTTTATATATTTTCTGTGTATCAATATATATATATATATATATATATATATATATATATATATATATATATTGTTCAAATATACGTACTGGAGGTTAACATGAATTGGCATATCAAATATGGGTTTTGATTCAGTGTGGCTCGTATACCATAACTTAGTGTGTGTGTGGATCTGAGCCATTGAAGTTTAAAATTTAAAACACGAGGGATTCAGTGCATTGCGGCACATTATAAGTTGATGCACATGCGGCAATTAATGGCTTAGATGTGGTTGATGAATGGGAGCTGATCCGGTACATCGCGGCTCACCAAAACACGGAGGACAGCCAATGAGGGGCTGCCAACACGCGCCGAGAGTGTAGAGGGTGCGTGGACTCGCCTACCAGTGTGTTCTTGCGCGTGGGGGCGCGTGCAGCAAGGGAAGGTGCTTGGGGCGGCGCGTGAGGGCGCGTGGGGATGCGTGTGATGTTCCGGAAGGTTCTAGTGGGGTCCGGTGATGTTCCAGGATTGATTTCAAGCTGGTTAATTTTGAAATTAATCATTAGATGATATATTTTAGATGTTTGAGGGTTGTAGGATGCTACTATGATATTTAATTGCATCTATTAGGTGTGATTATAATTAATTGATGATTTGGTTGGAAGGAAGTGGGTATATATAAATATTTGTTATATATATGTAACGTATGGATTAATTAATATATAATTATATATATATATGTAATTTGATATATATATAATATTTAAGAATATCTGGATTGACTAATTATTAAATTAATGTTATGCGTGTAAGATGCATGAGATGTCTACGTATGGATTAACTTCTTGTTAAGTTTAAGGTTGGTACATGGTTGAATGGTTGGCATGGATGAGTTACCAAAGGCTTCAATATACTGCCTTATTAGATGTGAATAAATTTCATATATGGGAAGCATGGTTGAGTTGCTAATTAATGGTGTAAGTAAATATACTTAAGAAAGCATGGTTGAATTGCTAGTGTATAAATAGATATATTTATAAATGGCATGGTTGATTTGCCGGTACATATTTAAATTGCTATATGTTTAGATGATTAAATGCCATCTAAGGTTATGATGTATATAGGTTGGATTATGACTAAAATAATCTAGTATATACAAGTTAGGGTATTATTTTATATATGTTAATAAAATAATAGTGGTGGAGACATGGATGATTTGTCAAAGCTTAAATTTTGGATATGTAATTTAAATGATCAAAAGTATTATTGGGTTTTGGATTTATTGGATTTTTCCTTAAATTGTAAGTTATTGTTTAAATGACTAAATTACTGTTTAGGATGGAGTTAAGGTGAGTGGGGTTTACTTTATGAGAAAATTATAAGGGGGGGGGGGGGGGGGCTTGATCTAGCTATGACTGATAATTAATTATTGGTGAGTGGTTTTGACAATTTAATGCCCTATTAACAGATAGGATTCTTGTACTATATATATAAGTATTTATATATATTTGTAGCATCGTATATTAAAGTTAAAGCTTAATTAGGGATGATTTTGGTAAAGATGATCTGTTTATTGGTTTTCAGAGGCTTGGTAGAGAGAACTTGCTCGTAGGGTTTAACCCGCGATTTATTTTTTTTCAAGTTGTTAGAAGGTCAAGTCTCAAGGTTGAGGATCCGTAGCTGGAGGACTTATCCATTCCTTCTATTTATTTAAAAGTAGGATATTAGTTTTGTTTCAGTTGATATTAGTATTTATTTGGTTGAAATTCTAAATAGTAACTTTTGGTTAAGGGATCCTTGAGTTACGGGATTCCCAATTTGTAACAATTTGGAAGTTATTAATGGATTTATTATTAATTAGATTTCTTCAGCGTTTTATTTTATTCTTTATTTCATTTTGTAATCTGTGCTTGTTTAAATACTTTAATTGTTTTGATATCCCTTGAATTTGTGCGCGGACTTGATCGGGGTATCACAAGGTTCACAAGGCAGAACATAGAGGGTCCTTGGCCGAGTCAACGTTATATAGTTAACTATCATATCATGGATGGTCTAATGCCGAAAATTAAACAGTCTTCAACAATAGATTCACAATTTTACTATGGCATTAACATTCTCTGGCATCAATCCATTCCTATTATGCAGTTGAGGACCAAAAAAGTTACGGCTGTCATGGAAATATGCACTAGGTTATGCAGTGTGCGTTATAAAACCTTCAGCAATAAGAAAAAATGGCCAAAGGAATCAAAGAGCTACCTGAATTGGTGTAGCTTGGACTGCGAATAGAGATTTGGGCTCCACCATTGGCGGAGTCCATGGGCTCGTTTAAAATCCTCAGAAGGGCTTAGATTTATAGTCAAATGTGCTGATGGAAGAAGATGCAATGGTTCTGATTCCTTCCCACTTGAGAATAGACTCCCTATTGAATTCCTTATTGAATTCTGTGTTGCAAGCTTTTCAATTCCTCCGGCACCAAGCTCTACCATCATCTCCCTGTGTTGAAAATACCCAATATACTCTGAGCAGATAGGATCAGAAGGATTCACAAACATGTAGGGGACCCATGCAGATAATGCAACAAAAGTGTCATTTTCTCGACGCCTTTGTTGGCGATCTTTTAGAGCTACAGCAACTCCTGCCTTGATGACACTTCTTGCAAAGCGTATCCCATGCTTTAATTTTCGATCCTCGAACTGTTCTACTGGAGCAGAAATAAATGGTGAATTGAAAAGGTAAGTTTCAGTAGGACACCCCATCTTAACCATGTTCTTTCCAGCAAGCAGTGCGATGGCCGACCCCAGTGAATGTCCAGCTAACCAGATGTTTGCAGCTCCAGCTACAGCAGCCATGTTTTCAACTTCTTGCATTGCAAGTTGAAAGCGGGAGCTATTTTGAAGTCTGTTGCAAATGAACTGGAGATCCAACTTGAGATCTTGACACCTAGTGTCTGGTCTGTTGATTGTGCCTCGAAAGGCAATAACATATCGTGGGGGGTTTGGGGCCATACCATAACTGTAGGAAGCTGGGAATTTGAACTCATAAATTGCGCCAAAGATGGAGAGATCAGCATTATCTACTAGCACATGGACTAATTGGAAATTAAAAAAGTCCCACCAGGGAGGAGCAAGAGCCTGAGGCCCTTGGCGTTTCTGCTGGCGATCATGTTCCAGACTGTACACTCCCTTAACTAAGCTAGCAGCAACAGCTCGCCGGTGATTTGTGTCTTCCCTGCAAAAGAATATGACAGCAAAATGCCCTCTCAAATCACTTGAACATAGAGTATTTCAAGAACCTTAAAGATAAAACCACTAAAAAAGATTAGCTCTAACACAAACAAGACCACCATATGTGATTCACCCAGACTAGCTACGTCAACAGATAGCTCTAACACAAACAAGAATACCATATGTGATTCACCCGGACTAGGTACATCAACAGAATCATTACGATTTCACTATCCTAAAAAAAAAAAAACGAAGCTCCCGCACCAAAAAAATGCCTTTTTTTTTTCCTGGCAAATTACAAGGACGGGGGACTCGAACACGAGCACACCCGTTCGGGGAGTTGGGCCAAAAATCCCTATTGGTAAGTGGTTGAGATAGAAATCACCACTGCTAAGCTCTTTTTCCATTTTTGTAAATAATTCAAACCCAATGGTGTACAGAAAACAACACTAGACCATCAACCACACCCACAGTTCCAATCCAACTCAATAGGATTACTTCACACAATAGGACTTATATTTGTCCAATCATACTTTGAAAGCCAAAATATTCTAGATTGAGCAAACAAACAATAGCTGTAAAATTGTCTTACCAATTAACAGTAGTCAGATGTAGTGGTCCTGAAAGGTTGAAAATATCCCTTGGAGTCGCCATGAGTGAATATATTCCTTTTTGGCCTTCCACCTGATGTCCTCAAAGAGAACTCTGTCACGAGGTAGAATTAAATGCCAGTAAGCAAATGGTGTATTCTCCAGAAAGACAACTGAAAAGCCCTCTAAGATAATGATGTCACACGTTCGTGATAATTATGATCCAAAAAGTTGGTGCATAAAAAAAGTGGGATTCTTTTCAATGTGTTCTCTCCTTTTCATCTCTGGGAGATCTACTTGAAAGTCGAATGCAAGGGTGGCAACGTACAATGGTATAGAATTATATGATAAGATAACACTCAGTACAAGGGATCAGCTTGAGGGTTAAGTACTGACTAATCTAAGCATTTATATCTTTTCATTTTTTCACTCAACCATCGTACAACCCAACGAAGGCTTTGGAACCAAGCACTGCCATGTCAAACTAGACAATGATGAAAGTACAACCAGCACAAATTTTGTCAATTGGTTAAGTAATCATCCACAAGTTTTTCACTGTCAAATCATATGGGAATATCTATTGTGTACATAGAATTTCAAAAAATTTAAGGTACCTAAACCTATTCAACATCAAAGAAGCATAGGCAAGGGATCAATAAATCAAGACCTCTAATTGATGTCATAAGATATTAGCGTATTACATCCTCAAATTAAATAATCAACCTGTCCAACAAAATGTCCAAGCTATATGAATCTTCTTCATCCCTTCTGCACTATTGCCCGTTCTATTAAATCATAGGACATCAAGTCATTTTACAAGTACATATGTCTTTTAATTATAGTTACAGTCTCAAATTTTCGCCTAGAAGGATTTGGACTGCAATATACCGAGAAGGTTTGATGAGTGTTATTTAGGCTTGGTTTGAACACTGACACAATAAATAAATTATATTTAGAGTGCAAATTTGTTTCTTCTGCACCACGAAAGGATATATGGTGTTGCTTCAATCTGAACATATCACTCTATCTTTGTGTTTGTCTTACAATGGACATTTTTTAGTTCCCTTTTAGATCTTGAAGGCATCCAGAAATGACTATATAAGCAATACAACAACAATGTATCTGAAACTATCAGACAATGAAGAAAGCAAGTTTATAGGAGGTTGTAGATGTAATAGGAAACAATAGGAGTCAACTCTTTGAAATATGATGAACAGGACCTTGGTAGGTCACGGATGGGAGAAAGGTAAGGCAGGCTACTGTGGCAATAACTAGAGAAAGAGAGTACGGACAACAATTGTATTGTTTTTCTCTATATTTCTTAACCATTTGCACTTGGAGAAAGCCCTGGATTTATAGGTAGAAACGACGGAGCCACTCATTATTAATAATGGAAGTATGTGCAAAGTTTCCTCCTGTAATATGAGTTACTATCCCTTGATCACTTATTTTGCCCCAAAATGCACTTCATTTTCCATCTCAAATGAAACATTACTACCAAAATTGCATTTTACATCTAGACTAGTCCTAAGAAGACACGATCCCAAGCCGATACTTGACATGGCCCCCCTCTTCAAGTTCCAGGTCCATCACAAGGAAACCGAAAACGATGATTTGCTTTGATATCAAAAGGGGAAGAACCAAATCAAAATAGGGTGGACAAACAGAATTGATTTTGGTTACTCGGACACACTAACTAGCTATGAAATTACATTGCTAGATTTGCCTTAAATTGTTCGTCTCTTGCCTACAATTTTCCTCAAATTAGCTTCCGCCATTTCCTTAATGCTTGTCACTTGGACATGCCGGTTAGGGTTTACTTGTCACAAACCCTTGAAGAGTCCTGTTTCTGTCCCTTCACTTAGGTCATGGGACACAATTTTAGTGACTTGATTTACACATCAACTTCCCTTAATTTAAGCCAAAAACACAAGAAACCACTTATCCTAAGAAAGATCGAAAAGCAACAAATCCATATATGAAGTTGAATCATAAGGCATATATCTTTAGACTATAATAACACAGACCGCATGCAGTTATCATCAGTAGAAGCAACTAGGCAACAGTTAATTGAAATAAAAAACGAAAATCGGAATCTAAGTGTTCCATATATGGAATAGTCGATACCAAACCGTACAAACCCAATTCAAGTTTATGCAAAATTTAAATATAAATATCGCAATAAATTAAGTACCTGATCAGACCTTACATTCGAAACTCTTCACACTAAATCAAGAGTCTCAAACCTCCTCCACCCATTTGAGCTTATCTCTGCAATATGAGACACACACATATTTTCAACAGTGTAGTTTCGTGAGAATTTCTAAAAGTCAATGTCAACATTTAAATTATGTGTCACGCCAGGGCTGTGTAAATTCTGTCACGGTATTTAAACGCGTCTGACATTCTAAGTTTCAACGAGTAAGTTGTTACACACGTTTAATACTACCAAGTGAAGGAGAAATAAAACTTACCAACAAGTGTTATACAGTGGACTTATTCTAAGTTAGATTCATTCTCTGATTTGGTATATATGGATCAAATGTTCATCTCACTTATTGCAAAGCATTCAACCTATTAAGATGATATCAGTGCTAAACTCATTTTTTGAGCATTCGGCTCGAAAAGTTTTGAGTAAACCTTCCCAAGCAGGCAGGGTGGTCTGACTACAACTAGAGTGTTGCGAGTTGGGTCATTAGGCCATGTTTGGTGTGAGTGAATGGAATCAAATGAAGTGTGAATGGAATGCTTTTGTTTCCATTTGTTAGTTTGGTAACTAATTTTAAAATTTGAATGATGATTCTTACCCCTTCTTTAAGAATGGCGATTCCCAACTAATTCATTTTACTTTCTAATTAAAGGAATGACCATTATATTCTCATTTTTAAAATAATAATAATAAATAAATGAATAAAAAAAAATATTTGATGAAACGTGGGCTATATATATATATATATATATATATATATATATATTTTACAAAAATATGATTTTTTTTTTGTGCAACTAAATATGAAAAATGAGAATGGACTTTCATTTTTATTTCATTTTCTGATTCATTTCATTCCCACTCTATTTTATTTTCTAATTCATTTCATTCCCACTCTATTTCATTTATCCAGACCAAACTAATAAGCATCTAATAAAAGATTGTAACATGCAAAATCAGTAAATTTAACGTGTGGACCAGGGTCAAGCAAAGTGACAACAAATACCTTTCCAAGCACCACCTTGTGTGTCTCTATAATATATGTGTGCTTTATAATATATGTGTACGTGTATACTGTATATATGGCGGCCTTTTTGTCTATATATTAAGTTATATTATAGGGTAAATTGTAATAAAACCCCTTTACTGAAACCTGAAGGTTAATCTATTTATGATTTGATACTATTTAATCATATTTAAACAAAGTTATAAGTATAGTCAATTACTTAAAATTAACTATGCTTGTTTTGGAAGAAATTGGTATTTATTTGCCATCGGGAGTTGTAGAAGCGTTAGTTACTAATTCTGTTTTAGTAAACTAAATGGACTAGTATGGAATTTTATATAACGTGCTCAACTTATATTTTTCTGTGTATCATTATGTGATACTCTAGATTTATGTTTGAGGATGAAATAGACGTTATGAAATTTAAATGATAATTTGCATGCCGTTAAGGACTGAGGAGGATTTAATTGCTAGGTTTGTTCTAGTAGTTTAAATGAACCAATATGAAAGAATTGGTTGGAAATCTTAATGTAATATGCTCAGTTTAAAATTCTGAATATTATTATGTCAGGCTATGGATATTAATTGATGAACTACTAAAAATTTCTGTTTAGTCAATGATAGGGATATGGATGGTTTAAATTGCTTAATATGCTTTAGCAGTTTAAATGGAAGATATATGAATTGTAATCATATACTGGATGCATGATAGGATCTTAGCAATATCTGATTTCTATTATGTTGGTTTATAGATATACTTGATGTTATAATGAATATGCATCATTTGTGGATCATTTGCATTATATGTACTGGTATGGGACCACTACAAGAAAAATGACTTTTTACCACGGTGGAAAAGCCTTTCTACCATGGTTTTGAACGGTGGTAGAAATAGCCGTGGTAGAAAGTTACTTTCTACCACGGTTTTACACCGTGGTAGAAAGTTAGCCTTCTACCACGGTTTTGCACTGTGGTAGAAAGTCTACATTCTACCACGGTTTTGCACCGTGCTAGAAAGTTCGACTTTCTACCACGGTTTTGCACCGTGGTAGAAAATAGACATTCTACCACGGTGCAAAACCGTGGTAGAATGTTGACTTTCTACCACGGTTTTTACACCGTGGTGGAAAGTATTTTTTCTACCACGGTTCTTCACTGTGGTAAAAAGTCTATTCGCAGAAGAAAAATAGATTTTTTACCACGGTGCATAACCGTGGTAGAAAGTATTATATAATTTTTTTTTTTAAAATAATACTTTAGCCCTTGTGAAGGCTCTTTTATTATTATTATTTTTTTAACTACTACTAACGTTACAGAACCCTAAATAAATAAAAAATAACATTATAACCAAAATAATTTACAATTCATATATATATATATATAACCAATTCCAAATCATTGTTTTATACAAAAATTAACCATATACAAATATAAAAATTAACCATGTACATGATCCACACCTTACATATTTACTTAACCAAAATAAAACAAAAATTCTTCATATCTTTTTGCAACTTCTTCTTCTTCATCAACCATCCAAAAAATATAGCGGCAACAAAAAAGGTAACTGCAACCCGCAATCCTAGCTTTGACCTATAAAGATAGTTGAAGTAAGAGAATTAATGTAAAACATTATAAAGGTACTTTGAAAGACTCTTCGTCTTAACTCAAGCAAAGCAAGTATTAATATGGTCTTAACTCAAACAAAGCAAGTTCAGTGTATCATGGAAATAATCCCAAAGCAAGTATTAACATGTACAAGTACTTTTGAATCAAGTCCTATGGTCTTAACTCAAACAAAGCAAGTTCAGTGTATCATGGAAATAATCCCAAAGCAAGTATTAACATGTACAAGTACTTTTGAATCAAGTCCAAATTACGAAAGTTTAGTATGAAATTGGACTCGTACATTATTTGATAAAGCATTCAAAATCACAAGAGAAGATGATAGAATGAATTCCCAAAAGGAAATTAGGAAAGCAGTTGATCGAATACAATGAAAATGACACCTCAGGAAGGGAATTGCCGAAAAGCATCTAAAACCCTCTTGGTATAATACTGTAGTCTGAAGTTCAAAAGAAAACACTTCAGTTTACTAAAAGGTGTTAGATGCAAAAAATCCATCCACTTAATTGATGCAGCAAGGACTAGTAGGCTTATCCCATCAATTTTCTAGTAGTTTCAACCTAGCCTTTAATTAACAATTACAAACTAATTGTAATAATCACTTTGTTTATTTGCTTAAGAGAGACAATATCATGATCATAATGGTGATCATTTACCAACTTGTTGCAATAAAAAAATTGAATCTGTCGCCTATGTATTTACTTTAGGGCATGTAATAATTTTCATGCTCTAATCATGTCACTAGCCCTTCTTTTACAGAAAAAAGTAGGATACTAAACAGTTTCTTGACATGAGAGGAAACACAACAGAGATCAACGAGAAAGCAAAGCCAGTAAGTGCAGTATCAAAGTTGACTACGTTATACATGTAAAAAAAGCATTCAATTTCAAATGAATATCATTTTGGCACTTAATCAATTGACATAAGGTCTCATTTACATGAGAAATATTATAAAATGAGATTAAAAAATAATAATAATATTTATATATATAAACTGTTTTGAGGCATAAATTTGAAAGTGAGGCATGAAGGATATATATATATATATATATATATATACATATATATATACATACACACACACACACACACACACACTTAGACATTGAGGTGTAGGGTTGAAAAAAACTTTTTGACTCATATGCAATCAACTTTAAATCATGCATTTTGGGACTTAATCAATTGATGGACATAAGGTCTCCTTTAGATGATAAATTAAAAATTAGTTGGAAATTGTGTTGATGTATAAATTTGAAAATGAGAAAGAATTATGAATAAGTAGGTAAGCTTTATTGTCACTATCAAAATTAAGACATTGAAAAAGTCAATTCAGACAGGCTTTGAAACAACAAAATCTAAATGGTGAGACACAAAATAGTGGGATTCTAGGCTTTATTAAATATTCAAACCCACTAAACTACTAAAGTGTTGATTTTGATAGACACTAATTAAAAAAAATGGTCACTTAAGGCACGTGACCCCCTATACACCGCAAAATTGGTCACTTAAAGGCACGTGACCCCCTATACACCGCAAAATTGATCACTTAAAGGTACGTGACCCCCTTGAGCATGAGTATAAAAATCATTAAAAATGTGTAATCATAAAAGAAATGCATCACTTACAAATTTTGATGTACTTGATAGGCTATGCAATTGAAAATCCTGCAACAAATGCGTCTTTCAAGTCAAAGCCACGAATTTCAGGCCTATATAAAGGCACACTTGAATCTATGAGATCAGTGATCCACACTCTCCAGCAGTCAGAACCAAGTGGAGCAGAACCTATGAGAGAATCTGGATCCACTGAATCAATCATACCCTTTGCGACAACTGATTTTGTCCCATGAAAATACAATAGCTCACAAGACTTGCCGACCAAATCTTCAGAAGGTGAGAGTTGATGTGAAGCAATGGGAGAGGATTGGTTGTTAGCACTCTGTCCATAGCACAATAATGGAAAAAAAAAGAGAGTAAATAATACTTCTCATAATTAGTGTTATAATTAGAGACATATCGTATCAAATTTATAGAGATTTATTACCAAAGATTGAATTAGTTGCATCATTTGATCTTGCCTTTCCTCTTGTCTTTGGAATTTCTCATTCATTTCTTGATATTGTTGTTTCCATTCATTAATAGTCCTCTCATATTTTTGAGAAGCACCCTCTTCGGTAATGACTTTGTAAGACCCGCAATAGTTGACTTCCCCCTGCCTTTTCTTTTATCACTTGTTGCTTGGTCGTTGTGGTTAGGGACTTGATCGTCAGAAGTAGGTCTATGAGCAGAGTTTTGTAATACCCCTAGTTTTCAAAAGGATAAAATGGGAATATTTTGGTTTGTTTTTCATTTTTATTTAAATTATTGGACTTATTTGTTATTTGGTTAAATTAGTTGTTTTATTATTGTTTGTGTGTATTTAATTTAATTGTTGTATTGTATTTGTTTTTGTATGTTAAATTAATTATTTATCTGTTTTATGTTAATTGGCTGTGTTGCTTTAACTATTTAATTTTG